CTCTTCAAAGGAGACTTCAGGTGGGTTCATGCCTCTAAGTTTGTGACTTTCTTCTTTTCTGAGTAACTCTTCGTACTTCTGAGGCTATTTCCTACATTTTCATAGTGGCTATTTGTGCAGATTTTCGAGGAAGTTGAATAGTTGATAGTTCGGAAATATTTGAGAGAATTTGGTCGTTTGGACTGGTCGTCAACTGAGATAATTGATTAAAGTTGAATCATTGTTTGAAGGATCACCTGTCAACGTGATGAGTGGGTATTCGCCGATATGGATTTGCTGAGGCATGTGATAGCACCAGGTGTTAGAATGGCCCTGAAATTGCATCAGGATCATTTCGCGGCAGGCGATGACTTCGATCATGCACCGTTGCTCTACGAACGAATCACACACTATCTCAGCAAGCTGTTCATATCGCATGAGGTTAGTGCTGAAGTTGTTGCTGTTTGTTCTTAAATGAAGTTGTTCCCTTATTGCTCTCAAAGAATTCAGTCATTTTTGTCAGCTAACTATGTTTCGTATTTTCGGATATTCTTGTTTGTGATCAGTTTCCAACATTACAGTGCAGTTTTGGCATTATTATTTGCTTGGGTGAACCAGAAACCGGAAATTATAATTGGCTAAAATGCATGAATGATATTTTATGGTTTGTAATGATGCATTACGAAATGTTTTACACTATTGAAAATTACAGCAGCATAGAATTTTATGCGAAAATGTGATGATTTTCGTTGCGGAAAATAAACCGATTTTGAATTGTTTCTATTTTTATTATAGCATGATCCAGCATGGCGTCGTGCGATAATAGCGAACACGCCATCACTACTTGCTCTAAGGCATATGTATGACGACGGACAGGATGATTATAAGATCATAATGCTTAACAAAATGCATCTCAATATGAGGTTAGTTGATAGAAGAGGATGTTCATGAGCGATTTGATGCTTTGATCTTTGACAGTAGTCTCTTAGGAATTTGTGGCATGATTCTGGACTGAGTCATTCAGAAAAGTCTTAACTTAAGGCATCTCCAACTTGAATGTTGCATTATTGTAACATGGAAAAATTTAAATATGGCAGGGTTCGAGCGTTTCGAAGTAACTTACAAGTTTATATTTCATTCTTTCATTAAATTTAAAACAAGTTGAGTAATGTGAAGTAATTCGTTTCGAATGTAAGCTCATCGTTCCGAAGATGTTC